TTTTTTTTAATGTGGGAAGAGACTAGCCTACATGTTCTCTTTTGTTTTGTTGCCCAGTTTGCCTGGTGCTATGCCAATACCACATTGACCCAATTTCTTTAGCTTTATCCTTTATACTACAGTCCTGATATTGTTTCTTCAAACTTGTCTTGGCTCTTCTTGCACTTGCCTTTCCATATTAATTTTAGGGTCAGGTCTGTTCCATAGAAAATTCCATTGGAATTTTTCTTAGAATTGCATTAAAAGTGTTAATTAATATAGAGCCTTATGAAATTGTTTTAATTAAATTTTACTATCCAAGAATATATTGTTTTCCATTTACTTAGGTATTCTTTAATGTTCTCAGATATTATTTTGTAATTTTCTCCAGAAAAGTCATTTTAAAACTTCTGTGAATTTTTTCCATAAGTATCTTATATTTTTCCTACTATTATAAATGCTATATTTTTATAAAATTTTGTTTTCTTGTTTTATAGAGTATAAGAACACAATTGATTTTGGAAGATTGATTATAAATCTTAATTAGTTCTAATTACCTATATGTAAATTTTGTTAGGTCCTCTATTGAATAATCTTCAAAAAATAAGATTGTTTCTTCTTTCCAATTATTATAATTTTTTGCTTTTCTTTTAATATTGTTCCAAGAAGACCTCCAGTACAATGTCGAATAGAAAAGCAATATTGGACATCTTTTTCTATTCTTGATTTTGAAGAGACTGCTTCTAATGTTTCATAATTAAGTGTGAAATGTATTACTGTTTTTAGTTCATAGCCTTTTTCAGGTTTGAAAGTCTCCTCCCTCCCTCCCTTCCTTCCTATGTTTTCTTTCTTTTTTTTTTTTTTCTCTCCTGCTTACTTCCTTGCTTTCTCTTTCTTTCCTTCCTTTCCCTTTCCCATTTTCTTTCCCTTTCCCTTTTCAACAGTTTCTTGCTCTCCCAGGCTGGAGTGCAGTGGCACAATCATAGATTACTGCAGCCTCGACTTTCTATGCTCAAGCAATCCTCTCACCTCGCCCTCCTGAGTAGTTGGAACTACAGGTGTGGGCCACTAAACCCAGCTAATTTTTTTATTTTTTGAAGAGACAGTGTTTTGCCATTTTGCCCTGGCTGGTTTTGGACTCCTGGGCTCAAGTGATGTTCCTGCCTCCTGAAGTGCTGGGAATATATATACCACACCTGGCTCCCCTCTATTTCTTGTTTAAGGTTTTGGTATTTCTTTTGTCCTGAAGTGGTGTTGGAATTTATTGGAAAAAAAATTTTTTTGGTAATGACTGAAATGATCAGATAGGTCTTATCTGTTGTGGCGGAGAAATTGTCTAATGTCAAACGGTGCTTGTAATTTCTAGTATAATCTCAATTTGGCTGTGATACATAATTTTATGTTTGTTACAATTGCTCGATTGATATTTTATTGAGGATTTTTGCATTTATGTTTATGTGTAAGATTGGCCTATAATTTTTATTTTTTGTAATATTCATGTTTGGTTTTTGTGTGAGTTATATTAGTTTGCTAAAATAAACCTGAGGGGCATTCCATCTTTAGTAATTCTTTAGAAGAATTTGAATAAGCCTAATTCTTTGGATATATGGCAGATTTCACAATAAAACTATTCTATGTGTGCATGGGAGAGACAGAATGAGAGCAAGAGATAGCAAGTTGGAGTAGATACATAATTCTGATGTAATTCATTTAATGGCTATAGCAACATTTGAGTTTTTATTCTTATAAAGAATAACATAAAGTTAATAGCTTTGTACCTTTATAAAAGCTATATATTATTTTTTACCATAAAGGTCCATCTTTTAAATTATTTAATTTGGTGGTTTTTAATTTATTTGCAGAGTTGCCCATTTTTAAATTGAATTATTTGTCTTTTTATTGTTGAATTGTTTTATATATATTTTGCATACAAGTCTCTTATCAGATACATGATTCATAATGTATTTTCTTCTATTCTGTGGGTTATCTTTTCACTTTTTTAATGGTGTCTTTTGAAGCACCTAAGTTTTTCATTTTGATAAAATCCAATTTATACATTTTTTTGGTCACGTGTGCTTGTGATGTCATGTCTAAGAAACCATTGCCTAATCCAAGATCACAAATATTTGCTCCTGTGTTTTCTTATGAGAACGAAAACGTATATATATGAAATGTTGTCAAACATTTTATAGTTCTAGCTCTTACACTTAGGTTTGATACATTTTGAGTTAATTTTTATATATGATAGGAAGTGAGAGTTCATTTTTTGCATTTGCTTATCCATTTGTTCTAGCACTATTTGTTGAAGAGTATTGTTTCCTCTACTAAATTGTCTTGGCACTCTTATCAAAATAAACTGATTATAATTTTAAGAATTTATTTCTCGACCCTTAATTCTGAATAGATGATCCATAATGTCTATTTCATATGTCTTACCCCAAGGACTAAAATATATTCATCTGTATTTTGTACTAGATTTTTAAAATATATAATATTTTCTTATACTATCCCGAGTTATGTTTTTTAAAAATACAAGGTAGAGTTTCAGTTTCATCTTTTTCCATAGAAATAACCATTTTTCCCAGCTGAATGCCAGAATTTCCTACTAATCTTACATGCCAACTCTCCCATGTACCACATTTTCGTATACGTGTGGGTCTGTTTCTAGGCTCTGTTCTGTTTCATCATTCACTCATCTATTCCTGTACCAATACCACACTGTCTTTAATTATTATAGCTTCATAGTAGGTCCTAATATCTGGTGGGGTAAGTTTTCTCCCCTTGTTCCCTTTCTTTAAGAGTGCTTTGGCTGTCCTGGGCTCTTTGCTTTTTCATATAACTTTTAGAATCATCTTATTTAATTCTATGAAAATTCCTATTAGGCTTATAAAGTTTGAATTGCATTGAATCTATAGATTAACCTGGAAATAATTCACATATTTATGATATTAGGTCTTCTAAACCATGAACATGATATATTTCTCCATGAATTTAGGTCATTTTATAAACATCTTTTAATATGCTTTTATAATTTTCTCCATCAAATTTTCATATGTCTTTTGTTAGATTTATTCCTAGCCATTTGATATTCTCTGAGGTCATTGCAAATGGAATGTTTTATATGATTATGTTTGTAGTTTTTTGCTGATGTGTAGAAATTAAACTGACTTTCATAAGTTAATCTTATATTCAGCCAATTTGGTAAACTCTCCTATTAATCATAATTTATAGATTTTTTGTTTTTATATAAATAATCATAACATCTGCAATAATAAGATTACATTTGAACAAAGATATGAAATATGCAAAGAAGTAAACTATATGAATATCTGAAGAACATACCAGCCAGAAGAAAAAGAAAATACAAAGGGTTTAAAGCAGGAACATGACTGATATGTTCAAGGAATATCAAGAATTAGAGTTTCTGGAATGCTGTGAGCAAGCAGGAAAGTGATAGAAGATAAGGCCAGAGGTTTTGGACCAGATTATGTTAGGTCTTGTAGACCACTGAAAGGGCTTAGGTTTTCACTCTGACTTGGGCATCTGTTGGAGGGTTTTGAGCAAAGGAGTGACATGATCTGAGTTATTCTTACTACTATGTTGAGAATAGAATATAAGGGTCAAGGATTAAAGCAAAGAGGTGTGATAAGGGGTCATTGCAGTAATCCACATGAGATAATGGAAGCTTAGACTAAGGTGGTAGTGGGGAGAGGTGGGGAGAAGTGGCTAGATTCTGGATGTATTTTGAAGATAGAACCAACAGGATTTGCTAACAGACTGGGTATTGCTTAAGAGAAAGAAAAAAGAAGCATCAAGGATGATTCCAAGTTTTTTGGTTTGAGCAATTGGAAGAGTAGAGTTTCCATTAGTAAAGAATGTTATTGAAGAAGTGGGAGATCAGTTCATACAGCATCTTCTTTATAAGGCATATGAAAGAAATTTAAGAACTTGCTTTGTCAGTATTTTTGTTTGTTTCTATCTAATGGGAGCTGCAAGTTGTGAAACTGCATTGCCTGCTAGAAAATGAAGAACATTTGTGTCCTTTGTAGCAAAGATATAGCTATCTAAAATTTGTGTGTGTTTCATATTGACTTCATTCACATTTGGCCTTTCTCTTTTTTCACTACTTCTAATTTATTCTCTTATATGTTATATATCCTTGTATACCTCCTTAAAACCTTTTTAGAACAGAGTCTGAATTAATAAAAAAAGTTGTTTGCATTGTTTGCTGGCAAAAATGAAATATGGGTAATAGTATTAGTTTTTAAAAACCAAGTTAAAATTTAAATTTAGAACATCATCTTGAACTATAAATATGTGTTTGTGTGAGTTTACATACTCACAGTTTTGAGTGCCTGCTGAGTTCCTACAACTCTATATCATCCATTCAGCAACATTCAGTGAACAGTGCTGTTCTAGGCACTTGATACATCAATTAATGAATCTACCCTTCAGGGAGCTTGCATTCTACTGGGGAGGTTACTGACAAACAGCACATGTAGTAAATTAGTAAATTACACAGTGTGTTAGAAGGTAATACATGCTATGGGGGAAAAGAAAAAGTATGATAAGGGAGTTTAGAGATGAAGGGAATATGGGGATTGCGATATTAGAGTGGTCTGGATGGGCCACATTGAGAAAATGAAATTGGAGCAGAGACGTGAAGGAGTGAGTTATGTGGCTGTCTAAGGGAACAGCATTTCATTAGAGGGAAAGGCAAGTGGAGGTTCCGAGGTAGGCACATGCTTAGAATATTGAAGGAACAGCTAGGTGACCTGTGTGGATTTGAATGAGTGAGAAGAGTGGTAGAAAATGAGAGAAAAGAGGTAATGGGATCGAGGGCAAATTGCGCAGGGACTTGTAGACTTCTGTTAGGACTGGAGCTTTTTCTGAGTGAGAGTGGGTGCCACTGCAGAGTTTCAAGCATAAGAGGGGCATGATTTGACTTGCATTTTAAAAGGATTGCTCTGGCTGTTATACATAACTTTCAAAGGAGTTGATGATTATTTCTGCGATTTTAGGTATATTACAGCTAATACTGACACAGAAGAACAGAGTTTCCCAGTCCCTAAGGCATTTAACACACGTGTAGAGGAATTAAATTTAGATGTCCTTCTTCAGAAGGTAGATCATTTACGTATGAGCGAGTCTGGCAAGTCGGAGAGTTTTGAACTACTTTGTGACCACAAAGAAAAGGTAAGAGACATGACAATAGCACTTCGTATAGTTTCATTTTTTTATTTAATCCGCCATCTCATTCAGTTATGACTACAATAATTGTGTCATGGTTCCTTCCCACAAGCTAAATGATTGATGTAAAATTTCTCTATAAAATGACTAAAATTGTTTTAAATTTATGTTATTTTTTATTTAAAATGACTAAAATTTTTTTAAAATTTATAAAAGTAAATGTAAAAGTTTATTAGACTCTAAGGTCATAAAAATGAGAACCAGAGCTATAATTATGCAGATTTACCTTTATTTGATTTTTTTTTCCTACTAATTTATATATTTAACAAATATTTTGAGACAGCTATGGGTATTTAAAGCTATTTCTACCAATGGTCATTTGTTAATTTTGCAGTGTTTAATGTTGGTTCTGAATAAGAAAAGCCTGTCCAGAGCTCTCACCACCACCACTAAAAAAAAAAATTAAAATTAAAATTAAAAGAGTTTGCAGTATCCCATGGAGAAATAAATCTCTATTTCTCTGAGGATTTAGCAACTCTAAACACATTGTCTAAAACCTGATAGATCTCCAGGATTATATTTAGGTAATTTAAGTAAAAAAACTGACTGCTCTTTTGAGTATATGCATTTTCAGCTTACAGATATTAACTGATATGCTCATTATATTGATAATAGATAACTTGGAAAGGAAAAGAAGAAAAGGATACTACAGCTCAGGAAGAATTTCTAGATTTTGGTGCCTATCAAATCTCTCCTCTGCATAGATGGAGCTAGTGTCTGGATAATATTAATTGGTTTTAAGATCCAAATGTAACACTACATTAGGTCATATTTCTTAGCCATGAGTATTTGGATTAAAAATGTTTCACACTGAAATATGCATATACATAGATTCAATAATCTATAAATACCAGTTTAGCTGCCTAAGTTTTTTCAAAGTTGCAGTAGAAAACAAGAATAGAATAGACAAGTTACCAAGTTAATTTAACAGGCAACTCCATCTTTTTTTTTCAGTTTAGAGATGAAATAGAGTTTATGTGGCGATTTGCTCGTGCTTATGGAGACATGTATGAACTATCTACAAACACACAAGAAAAGAAACATTATGCTAATATTGGTAAGCATTTTGTAAAGATTATTCTCAACTAGCAATTAAGATCTATAGTAAATCATGCAGCCATAAAAAAGGATGAGTTCATGTCCTTTGCAGGGACATGGATGAAGCTGGAAACCATCACTCTTAGCAAACTAACACAAGAACAGAAAACCAAACACTGCATGTTCTCACTCATAAGTGACAGTTGAACAATGAGAACACATGGACACAGGGAGAGGAACATCACATAGCAGGGCCTGTTGGGATGTGGGAAGCTAGGGGAGGGATTGCATTAGGAGAAATACCTAATGTAGATGTAGGGTTCATGGGTGCAGAATACCACCATGGCACGTGTATCCCTATGTAACAAACCTGCATGTTCTGCACATGTATCCCAGAACTTAAGGTATAGTAACAAAAGATCTATAGCAAACCACTAGTGAATTTTAATTAAAGCTAAATTATCTTAGCTAAAACTAAAATGTTTAATCTATTTTAATATATTATGGTACAAAAAAATGTGCAGTCTCAGAACAGAAAGGCATTTTAGGACTAAAGTGTATGTCCTTCAGAAATATTTGAGTATATTAGAATACATAACTGAAAAAACTTAAATTTCATCTTTTAACTTCATAAAACATAGAAAGACAAGAAATGTAGTGGCAGTGTTTGAGAAACAACAGGCAGAGGACAAGTGTCTTCAGCAATTGTCAACCACAGTTAAAGTAACACATCTTACTTCTATAATGTAGAACTCCAGGGATCACAAAGAATAAACTTGCAGACTTTAATGTTTTTCCAAATGTATCGTGATGAAACAAGATTAACCTTGTTAAAAACTCTGTTTGATAATTGTCTGAGCTGAACGATGATTACATGGTGGTTCATTATTCTGTCATCTATACTTTTTTGTGTATTTTTGGAATTTTTCATCACAACAACTAAATAGACAGAATGTCAAATTGTTATTTTTATGCCTCACCTTGACTCTTACTCAATGTCAAAATGTGTTCTTGCAAAAGCCCCTACCTGCCATCTCTCTGAATGTCAGTATAGTACTTTGACGTCAAAATCCTTTGAATTCTTTATTTATTCCGAAGCCTTCTCTTTTCCAGGCTTTTCTTCTAGAAAAGATAGCCAGAGGAAGACACAGCAAGAAAGATTTCTACCCAGGCTAATTCTCTGTAATTTTTATTTCCAAGTAGAAAGTTTTACTAAACTCCTTGTAATTATATTTTTCCACTTGGAGATTCATTTGCTAAATGACCTTTGTGCTTTAGTTTCCCCCAGTGGGAGGAGGATGAGAGGGTTTCCCCCTCTTGTTTGCATATTCATCATCAGCTTTGTAGAGTTTTTCTGTAGCAATCCAGTTTGCAGACCATATACAAAACAGAATTCTAGAGCAGAGATATATTAATTTAAATGTGAATAAAAACTTAACCAAGGAGAACAAGGGGATTTATTTTCATATCTACTGAGAAAATCAAAGTATATCTATGTAAACTGTTCCAACATTCATCAATATTAGATACATTTTTTTCATAAGTACCTGCCCTACCCTGGGTATTATGTGCTAAGGTAGGAATAGGATAGCAAAATAGACATGTTTTCAGACTACAGGGGAGCTTATGGCTTTGTAGGGGAGGCAGCACTATTCAAATAATCATACATATACAAAAACGAATGGAAATAAGCTCTTATTAAAGAAGAGTACAGAGGCTGGATGCAGTGGCTCATGCCTGTAATCCCAGCACTTTGGGAGGCCAAGAGGGGCAGATAGCTTGAGCTCAGGAGTCTGAGACCAGCCTGGGCAACATAGGGAGACCTTGTCTCTACTAAAAACAACACACAACTGAGGTGGGAGGATCAGTTGAGTCCAAGAGATCAAGGCCACAGTGAGCCATGATCTCACCACTGCACTCCAGCGTGGGTAACAGAGCAAGACCCTGTCATAGATAGATAGATAGATAGATAGATAGATAGATAGATAGATAGATAGATAGGGAACAGGTTGTTTGCGAGCACATGTAGCAAAAAGGAGAATATGATGGCAGAGGATGGAGGTTGATGCAGGGAAGTCTTTCTTATGGAAGTTACAGTTTCCCATAGGTAAAATCGCTCTGGATCTCTATTCTTAAATGGAATGGGAGTTTAACTGAGTTAATGTCTTAGGTGGTGAAATTCGTAAAGAAATAGGTTGAGGGGAATTCAGGGGCAAAAATGAAGCATAGGATTGAAATAGAATATATCTAAAAAAAAGAGAGAAGAGTTTATAGTGCCGAAGAAAAAGGAGTAGAAAAAGCCTTAGATGTGGTCATTCAGATATTGAAATAAAAGTAAAAGAATTCCTTTAATTTATCCATTTAATAAATATTCAAAATTATTTTGTCAAGGAACAGTGTGAAAATGAAGGGTGGAGGGAAGTGGAGGAGGGAGAGAAGGAGAGGCATAAATATGATGAAGGCTGCACAACACTAAGGAACTTACTCTATGGAAAAAATAATAAAGGGACAGCCAATTATATTCAGTGTATAAGGAGTAAGTACTTAGTAATGGTAATAGCCAGGTACACTGGAGCTGAGAGCAAGGCAGGGGCTCAGACCAGCCGTGGAAGAACGTTGGGATTCAGCATGAGGGAGGAAGAAGTGCAGGATATTTCTTCTCATAATAGCATGATTAAGGTTGTTATGCTTAGGAAAGATTTGATCACTGGAGAGTACAAAATTCTTTGATAAAACTCAAAGTGAGTATATCATTATGCAGTATGTTTCTGAAGTATTATGATATTAATCTTATATTTAAAGAAACATTATTCTAATTTTCCTAAGTAATCGATATGAATGCATCATAAAGATGACAAAATACAGTTATCTAAAGGAAATAGCTTTACTTTTGTCCTGACTACATAAGCGAGGCTATGAATCTAGTTTGTATACCCAGCTTCTTTTTATATTCTTGGAGTGATGGAATCACCTCTATTTCAGGCTTCTAGTACGCTGAAAGTTTTATTCATTTGGTAATGTAGCTGAAAAATTGATTTAGTTTTTAATGTTTTTTATATTCAAAAGCATGTTTTTAACCATTTAAAATTGCTAATTTCTTTAATATTTGTTCACAATGCAGTTAATTATTATTAAAACACTTCACTTTTTAATTCTTTCAAATTTATGTAGATTTCTACACGGAATATTTCTCTTAATGGATAGTGCTGTAGAATGGCACCTTAACAAATTAACAAATAGAACCGTGGTTTCAGAATAAAATATTTGTATTTATAAAGATTATCTCGGCCACTTATTTAGAAAGGCATTTTGCATATCCTTGGATAGTCTCTTCAAGATAATAATAATAATAATGGATCAGGGAGAAAAGAAGTTATAAAACAAAATGGCCCCTTTTGAGAAAGATTCTCAGAATACAGTTCTGTTTTATTGCAGGTATTTTGATTTTCCAAGCCATAAACAAACCTGTATCCAGATTATTATTATTATTTATCATTATTATTATTATTATTATTATTGAGATGGAGTCTTGCTCTGTCCTCCAGGCTGGAGTGCAGTGGTGTGATCTCAGCTCACTGCAACCTCTGCCTCCTGGGATCAAGCGATTCTCCTGCCTCAACCTCCTGAGTAACTGGGATTACAGGCTTGCACCACCACACCCAGCTGATTTTTGTGTTTTTAGTAGAGACAGGGTTTCGCCATGTTGGCCAGACTGGTCTCGAACTCCTGACCTCAGGTGATCCACCTGCCTTGGCCTCCCAAAGTGCTAGGATTACAGGCGTGAACCACCACGCCCAGCCCCAAATTAATTATTACATTGTTAAAAATTAGTCTAAAACTAAGTAAAATAATTTGGGGGAATTATTTATGTCACTGAACCTGTTCATTATTGTGAATGATTAGGCAAGAACTTCTCAGGTTTCCCTGACTCCTTCCCTTACTCCTTCAGGCAGAGTTAGTTACCCACTCTGCTGTGCCCTCTTTTTCATCTTGCTCTTACTTTTTTATTTTTGCATGTAACTTATTTGTTTATATACCTGCAGCATACAGAACAGTGAGCCCTTGGAGGTCAAGGACTCTATCTTATTTGACATTTTATTCCCAGACACAGTACGGCACATAGTAGGTACTCAGTAAATGTTGTTTGAATGGAATACAAAAAATTTCTATTGCGCTTTGTAAGCAATAATTAAATGACGTTTCTTGCACTTGGTTAAGTTGCTTAGTCTAGTGTGTGTCAGACCTTAGCATACATCAGAATCATTGGAGGCTCATTAAACCACAGATTACTGGGCCCCAATCCCACAGTGTGTGATGGAGTAGATCTCCAATGTGGCTGAAAAGTTCTCAAAGTTGCCACGTGATGCTGATGCTTCTGGTCTTGGGACCATACTTTGTGAACCATTGAGCTAATTCAATAATCCACCTCCTACCAACTCACACGAAGATACTAAGTATAAGCACTCTTATCTTTCAGGAAGAACTTTAAGTGAAAGGGCTATTAATAGAGCACCCATGAATGGACATTGTCATCTGTGGTAAGTATATAGGTTTTATGCAGTCTTTTAAATTCTAACCTGCCTCTTTATAAATTAAATGGATTTTTCAAAATATTATTGACCCATATGTTTAATCTGTCAGTCACATTCACTGAAAAATGTATATAATAGCACAGTAACTGTTCTTATTCTGTTTATTCACATATTGTTATTATGCATCTTTTAAATATATTTAAGGGAAACTTATTGAAAAATTCTTGAATGAATCTACGAAGTCTACTGGCTTTGAAGATGATATGTTATAATTAAATCTAGTTCAGCATAACGTTTTATTTGAACACAAATGCTAAAATGTTAGCATGTTTCTAAATGAAATGTAGAAAAGCACGTCAACCATTTCTTATGCATTGATGTGTCGTAATATACAAATTCCACAGATCAAGGAAAAGCCATTTATGATATAAAAAGTTCAAACAAAGAGAATCTAATTAGTTAGATTGGTATAGGTAAATGTTCTTAGAGCAAAAAAAAAAAAAAATCATTCTTGTGTTTGGACCCTTTCTATGTTTATGTAAACATTATTTTATAAATATAAATTATAAATTATAAAAAGAAGGAATATATTGTTTTTAATTATTATTCTTCCTTTTACTTGTAGTTGCATTTTTACATTTATAGTTCCTTGGTTTCTTTTTCTCTCCAGCAATACAGGTGCCCCACATAGTGGGAAGATACAATAATAAATGTATGACGCTTTCTTCAGCCCTAAGTTTCCAGAAATCCACCCTTCTTTGCGATTACTTTATTTCCCATCCCTATGATGTAGGGGCACTCTTAGGCAAAATCTCTCTTAAAATGGCTCCCTTTCCACACGTCCACAGTTGTCCCACAGAAGGCTCATTTTTTTCCCACCAAAATCTGAAGTACAAACCGTTTTCTTAAAGTAGACCTGTTTTTTCACCTGCCACCAGCAGGGGGAGCTCCACTCACAGACTCTCACTTCAAATTCCTTGGGGAGGATTCCGGTAACATTTTATTTGTCCAAACTCAAAGGGACACATGCCAAAATATGAATAGATTTTTTGATGCTGCCCTCCCATAGTTTTAGATGAGATGCAAGCCTAGCCCCTGCCCTCTGTCATGAGAGGGTGGAAGTTGGAACCCACAGCACCCTAACCCTGGAGAAATCCTCACTCCCAGTCTCTTCCTCCCTCCGGTGAATTCTTTGCCTTCTCTTATGTAGCCTGGAGAAGAGTGAAGGGCTAAATCTGGCAAAACCTGGGAATAATTTCTTAGTATGTCACGGATGAGTAATAGAGAATCTTGCTTTAGGGATTGGAGTACCTAATAGATAAAGTATTGTTTTGTATTCTTGATGCCTCTGCCAAAATTCTAGGGAAAAAGGTAATTTTCCAGGTAACAATTTGGTACAGACTTTTAAGATCATTTCCCTAGAACAGAGGGTCTTGGCTATTATATTAGCCAGGTTTACCTATATAATCTAATTTACATAATAACACTAGTAGATTAACATATATGTTAAAGCACTTTCGTTCTTCTACTTTTAGTAGTAACTGTAATAAATTTGTGGTGATCAAGCCCTACTGTCTCTCTTCATCTCCTTTGATAATGGAGGTATTTGGGAACTGGTTAGCCTAATTAGGATGCAGAAAGAACATTAAAGTCCTACTTTTAACTCTCAACTCCTCCTCCTCCCCTCCTCTTCCTGTCTCTTACCTCCGGCCCCTCTGTTCCCTCCCCTCCTCTTCCTTCTCTTCTTTCTCCCCCTCCTCTATTGCTCTTCCTTTCCCATCCTCTGTCCTCTTCCTTCTCTCCTACATGCATCTGTACCCACAAAGAATCACATTAAAAATGTGCATTTGGTGTAAATCCTCAATTTGAGGTTATTTATCAGTGTGGGTTTCCAAATTTTTATAGAGGAACAATGTTGAATTTTCTCTGAGGGCTTCATTAAGTACCTTGAAATGTATCTTGTGAACATAAATTATGCTGAACTCTGGTTTTCCCAGTCTGTCTTCCACTAATCTGGTTACATCTCCTTTGTTCATCTTCTTTTACTTTTTGTTGAGAACCAAATGCCTTGTTTATAATCATAGCATTTAACCCCGATATTAAATCTTATCAAAACACAGAGTAGTGATCCAATTGTGTTTCACCTAATTTCTTATTCAGTATCAGTTTTGAATTTAAAAAATTAAAATCTAATCAGTTGATTAAGGTTTAAGAACTTTAAATGTCAATTTAATCGTAATTCTTATACTATATCCTACTGAATGCAAAAGTCCTCCTTAAATAGTAGATATTTGAGGTGATGAAAAAAGAAATTTAAACTTTGACTTGAGAAGCAATGGGTGAAATTTAGGTGGTCTGATTTTATAATTAATTATAATAAAATGTTGAAATCTTATTCTGCTGGACTCTAATTATGTTAAAACTGAATTAAGACTGAATTTATTAGTATGTTAATAAGACGTTTTCTCATTCATTCAGCATGAATGACAAACTATGGCCTGGAGATGAATTCGACTGCCTGTTTTTGTAAATAAAGTTTTATTGGATCACAGCCACACACAGGCATTTTTGCACAGCGGCAGAGTAATTGCAAAAGACTGGCCCCAAAGTCTAAAATGTTTACTATCTGGCCCTACTGCAAGAGTTTGCAGACCGTGGTTTACAGCATTATATGATGGTTTATAAACCTTCAGTTTGAAACAAAAGATGTAATCTTTAAGAATTATTTTCATAAAGGGTTAATATTATTTGGAAATGATTGAAAAATACGGATCATTTTAGTGACTTAGTTTTATCTCTATCTTTTCCTAAGTGAAATGGCTTTGTAACTTTAGGGCTGTATATGCTTTCTAGAAGATTCAGTTGTTTTTGTTGTACTGACAAAAAATATTTAATACTTCTGGAATCAAGAGAATGAGAATAAAGTGACCAATGGATTTGCAGTTTGTTGGCCAAATAAACCTGACCTTAATTATAAGTAATGTCTTACATATTGGTTGTGTTCTACTGTTTGCAAATTATATCCACATGTCTTAGAACATGTGATTCACAGAACAGCTTGTTTTCACTTTATAGATGGGGTAAGCAAGGTACTGTGTGTATGTGTGCGTGCACGCATGAGTGTGTGTTGAGTAGTAATCAGAGCCATACAATAAGTGGAAAAACAGAAACTAGAACCCAGTTTTGTATTCTTCTATGCCTAGTCATTTTTCTGTTAACAGTATGCTGCCTCTGCTTTTTCATAGTATAAACGGCATTGGTGCTGAATCAGAAATACTGCAGGGAAATTCATGGAGTTGTTTTAGTAATTGTTGAAACAGTATGATAGTCAATGATTAAGGATATATTCACTATCAATGCAAAGGAAAATACAGTGTTCTTGTCAAAACGTATGTAGTTAGAATGACCTCTAGATGGAGGTAATATACCGTGTTGTGAATTAACTTTCTTCAGAATTTCCATCAGCCTGTGTATTTGAGAAATAAAACATAAAATTATGTATTTTAAATGAACAGTATTTAAAAATCATATACACACACAAACATAGGTAGAATTGATTGAAAGAAAAGGAGTAATGACCCTTTGGGAGAAAGTGACCAGGTACCTTTGAATTTATGATACATAAATAGATAGATAATATTTTAAACTTTAAAGAAGCAGATTCCAAAAAAATATGAAAAATGTAACTCTAAGGGCAGATTATTTAAAAAGGAAAATTATATATTTCATATAATTGTATTTATAAATCATGGAGTTTTTTTCCCTTGACTCAGAGTAACTTGGAGAGAATATGTTGAGAGAGCAAAATAAAAGCCTAGAGATGTGCATAAGTAGTTCTGATTTGCAGAAAATAGCAGAAGATAGATTCTACCACTATAGACCAGTGAACATAGCATCTATGCCTTTCATTCCAGCACAAAGAGTTAGATGGGTTGTTTTGTGCATCTCTAGATAAGTGTGTAAGTTGAAAGAGAACCAACATAGATTTTTCTAAAAAGGTGAAATGATCTGTTATTTATTTATTTAATTTATTTATTTATTTATTTTTTTGCTAGTAGACTAGGGAAATCGATCCAGTATACCTGGATTGAAGTAAAGCACTGAGGCAAGTTCACTCATAACATTCTTTGGACAAGTAGAAATGTGGTCCAGCTTTGAGTCAGCTGACCCATACTGACTGAACAGTTTGAGGCTTGGTTATTCAACAGATCACTGTCAGTCTGGGGGCGATTCTAGGGCCAGATCTGTATCTTGGTCCCCAGTGTGTTCAGTAATTTTGTTGATGGGGGAAGAGATAGAAGGTATGCTTATAAAAGTTACAGAGAACACAAAATTAGGAGTAACAGGGTATATGATGGATGACAACAGTAACTCAAAAGATTTTAACATGTTGAAAAAGATACCTAACAAGTTATGATTTAATAGAAATAAAAATGAAAGGAAGGATGGAGAGAAAGGTATCAAAAATGACTAAGGATAATAGGGAAATATAGAAATTTGAATAAAGTATAGATTTTAGTTAATAGTGTATTAATATTGGTTCATTGTGACAATTTTGTATCAATATTGTATATCAATGTTGGTACAGTTTTGACAAATGAACTGTAGTAATGTAAGATGTTAACAATAGGGAAAACTAGGTGTGACATATAAAGAAATTGTACTATGAGAATTTTTTTGTAAATTCAAAGCTATTCTAAAAGTATATTTAAATAGAAAGTGGCCTAAAGTTTTAAGTCCAGATAATTTGGAAAATGATAATGCCCATGACAAAAAGAGAGAGTCTGGGGAGGTAGTTGTGTTGAATTTGGAAGGATTAGAATTGTTCCCCAAATTGGAACTCGTTGGGAGGAATGATTGAACAGAATGGCAGAGACTGTTTCAAAATAACACAGTGAATAGACAATTTGAATAGTCCTACTTCTGTTGAAGAAATGGAATAAATAATTAATAACTTTCCAAAACAGAAAGCATCAGGATCAGATGGGGTCATTGGTAAATTCTACCAAATATTTAAGGAGAAAATTATACCAATTACATAAGATAGAAGTAGAGGGTACACTTCCTAACTCATTGTTTGAGTGTAGCATTACCCTAATACCAACATCAGACACTAGAAGGAAACTGTAGTAGACCAGTATCTTTCCTGAACATAGAAGCAAAAATCTTCAATAAAATATTAGCAGTTTGAATCCAACAATATATAAAAAGAATTACATAACCAAGTGAGATTCATTCCTGGTATGCAAGGCCAGTTCAACATTTGAAAATCAATTACTATAATCCATCACATTAACACACCAAAGCAGAAAAAATCACATGATTATTTTAACAGATGCAGAAAAAGCACTGGACAAAATCTAACAGTCATTCATAATGCAAAGAGAGAAACTCTCAGCAAACTAGGAATAGAATGGAATTTCCTCAAGTTGATAAAAAAAAGCAACATTTACAGGAAACATACAGCTAACATTATGCTTCATGGTGAGAAACTTGCTTTCCAACCATTAAGAAACTAAGATCAGGAGCAAGGCAAGGATGGTCCCTCTCACCACTGCTTTTCAACATTATACTGAAAGTTCTAGCTAATGCTATATAACAAGAAAAGGAAATAAAAGGTATGCAGATTGGGAGGGAAGAAATAAAATTATTTCCAAATGACATGATTGTCTTTGTAAAAAAAATTTTTTTTAATATCTTGGAATTAAGCAATTATAACAAGGTTGCTGGATTCAAGGTTAATGTACAAAAGTCAATGAGTTTCCTCTATACTAGCAATGAAGAAGTGGAGTTTGAAATTAAAAACATATTACTATTTACATGAGCACCAAAAATATTGAAATACATAGATGAAAATGAACAAAGTATGTACAAGATCTCTATGAGAAATGCTTAACAAATATTCAGCAGGCGAATGAATAAAACTATGTATATCCATTCAATGAAATATTATTCAGAGCTAAGTAGAAATGAGCTATCAAGGCCATGAAAAGACATGGAGGAAGCTTAAATACATATTACTAAGTAAAAGAAGGCAATCTGAAATGGCAATATACTATATGGTTCCAACTATATGACATTCTAGAAAAGACCAAACTATGGAGACAGTAAACGGATCAGTGGTTGCCAGGGGTTGCGGGGAGTGAGGGATGAATAAGCAGAAAACAGAGGATTTTCACAGGAAGTAAAACTTTTATGTAACACATTACAACAGTATACACATATCATTATACATTTGTCAAAACCTGTAGAATATCAAACACCAAGTACAAACCATACTGTAAACTATGGACTTTGGATGATATTGACGTGTCAGTGTAGGTTCATCAGTTTTAACAAATGTACCACTGTCAGGTGGGATGTTAATAGTGGGGGAGGTTGGCCAGGCATGGTGGCTCATGCCTGTAATCTCAGCACTTTGGGAGGCCGAGGTGGGCAGATCACCTCAGATCACCTGAGGTCAGGAGTTCGAGACCAGCCTGGCCAACATGGTGAAATCCCATCTCTGCTAAAAGTACAAAAATTATCCAGGCATGGTGGCACATGCCTGTAGTCCCAGCTACTTGGGAAGCTAAGGCATGAAAATCGCTTGAACCTGGGAGGCAGAGGTTGCAGTGAGCCAAGATCGTACCACTGCACTCCAGACTGGGTAACAGAGCATGACTTTGTCTCTAAATAAATAAATAATAGTGGGGGAAGTTGTGGGGGCTAGGATAGGAGATACATGGGAATCCTCTGTACTTTCTGCTCAGTTTTGCTGTGAACCTAAAAGTGCTCTAAAACGTAGTTTATTAATTTTTTAAATAAAAGGACATAGGCCTGAGGCAACAATAACAGTTTTTATAAAACAGTTTGAAAGTCATGTTTTGTCAATCTGCTTTTCTTGATTTTGAAATCTCTGGAAAGATTTATTGTGGATCTAGAGAGGTACATGAAATTCAGTCTGATTTTAGAATTCGTGAGTAGTGTATCCTAATCTAGTTAAGTTCTGAGGTTGTTTTTAATAGGTTGGTATGGTCTTCCTCCTTGCTTCTACTATAGCAGATTCTGCTGATTATACAGAAACTGAAAACAGAGATCAAAAAGGTCATAACTGAAAAGTGGCCATTTTATTGGTTGTGCATAGGTGGTATGGATTTGTGTCTGGGAATGGTCTTACTGTTCCAAATTAAAATTGTTCACTTTTTTTGTACTTGGAAGTTATGTGTATTCATAGAAATGACTGAGATAAATAACATCTGAAGTTATATTTTTCATCTTAGTTATTATGATAATGCGAGTAAAAATTAACACCTACTCTTGGAATATTTAAGTAAATGGATATTTTACCTTAGACAAAAACACTCTGAAATACTTCAAAGATTTTTGTACAGACAGAAACACTCCGAATGTGAAAAGCAACATATCCTCAATTTTTCCAGTAAATAAGCAAATTGCGGAACAAATATTGCACGCAACTTAAAGTCAAATAATTATTTGTGTAAATTTTGTATTCCCAGTGAAAACAAATAAATGACCGACGGGATGCACTATTCTAGTAATGCAGTGTTTCCAGGAAGGGTTGAAGGAGAAGGGGAAATCTTTTGAAAAAGCATATTTTAAAATTACCTTTGATTTTGGTTTAATCATGGTATTTATTTGCATATTCATATTAAAGGAGCTCATGAAATTTTAAGTTTTTTAAAAGAGGGAATGAATTTTTTAAGTTGACTTTAACTGTTTTTAATGTTATAAATCTGTTGACTGTATTTTTTCTAATTTAATACTTAAAATGATTAGACTTTTTCTGAGAGTTTCTTCATGACTTTAATGTTGATGATGATGATAGTGGCAGGTAGCTTTTATTGAAACTCCCTATGTCCTGGGCACTGTTCTAATCACATTACCTGTTTTAGCTTATTTTACCCTCACAATATACATATAAATATTGTTAGTATCCCCAGTTATAGGTGAGAAAACTAGCCTCATGTTAATGTCAAGTATTTATTATTGTTAGGGCCCTTATATGAATATTCTTGTTAAATATGAATGAATGTTTTAGAGTTTCTTTTAATGTTATGTTTTGGTAGCATTTTATTGAAAATTTACACAGTGGCCACTGTTTTTATCCTTTTCAGGTATGCAGTTTTGTGTGGCTATGTATCTGAGTTTGAGGGTTTACAAAACAAAATCAACTATGGCCACCTCTTCAAGGTATTTCTTTTTTTTTTTTTCATATTTCTTTTCAGATCCAGACTTACGGAAGGGTATTTATTAATAATAAAAATGTTTTAATGTAGCCATATGTTCCATCAACAGACATAAACCAGATTATTCAACAGATTAAGCTCTGGGAATTTGCTTTTTTGTTTAAACATCAGAAAATGAAATATGATACTCTTTAAATAGTGCTATGACAAAAAGAATTATTTAGGTGATTAAAGATTATTATTAGTTCAGCTTCTGAAAGAAGTCACAGAGTAGATGAGTATTACCTTTTCAAAGATTAAGAATTAGCCAGCGGGTGCAGTGGCTCACACCTGTAATCGCAGCACTTTGGGAGGCTGAGGCGGGTGGATCACTTGAGACCAGGAGTTCGAGACCAGCCTGGCCAACATGGTGAAACCCCATCTCTACTAAAAATACAAAAATTAGCCAGGTGTGGTGGTGGGCACCTGTATTCCCAACTACTTGGGAGGCTGAGGCAAGAGAATCGCTTGAACCAAGGAGGCGGAGGTTGTAGTGAGCCGTGATCATGCCACTGCATTCCAGCCTGGGCAACAGAATGAGACTTTGTCTCACAAAAAAAAAAAAAAAAAAAGCCTTTTGGTCATAAGCTCAATAACAGCATGAGTGTGACCAGCACTAAGTAGTTAACAATCTCTGCATATTGATTTGGTGGAGGAAAAGTCGGATCCAATCTAGGATTTAAATTTGCCATGATAGACAAATAAAGTAAATAATCCACATACACACATAATGTATTATTTGCCTCCATAGCTCAATACATAACCCTCAATGTCAATAATTACAGAGATGAGTAAACATTTCTTCCCTATTTTCTAGCTCCCTATAACCATTTGATAATGCCAAAGGATTAGATTTCTCTCCCATCTAACTCTTCTATTTTTTTCTGCCATAATCCCCTATTCCATGTCATTTGATATTTGTAAGCTCTCCTCAGAATCAGTAACTATTCACTAGTTAAGTCATAGGTAGGCAAACATATGACTTTGGTGTTTTCTAATTTTATAACAGTATTTTGGCTTTAAATTACACATAGCTTTATTAAATCCTAGTCACAGTTCCGGTTCTGGTTGAAAGCAATCATTTTGGTAATTTAATTATTCATAAGATTTCATTGTATTAATGATAGAGATGGCGAGGACTGAGACAACATTTTAAAACCACTTTTGAGTTACTAGGCTGTGGTGTAGTTCCATTCAACAATATCTGAAACTTGGGAGATGATTTTCCTTTGGATGCTTCTTTCAGGAACATCTAGATATAGCAATCAAACTTTTACCAGAGGAACCCTTTCTATATTACCTCAAAGGAAGATACTGTTATACTGTAAGTTGAATGCCTTTATTTATAAACTTTATTTGAATGTAGTATGATTATAGGATAAATTTTCAAAGACTTATTGTTTTATTTTTACCCAGTGCCTACTTTAGGGAGAATTATAATAGCAATATAAATTTTATTTTAATGTATAATACATATGTTAAAATTGTATGTGAACTTATAATTTATACATTATAATTTTAAAATCTATAATCTAGGTATTTTATAATTTATAAACTTGTAATTTATATATATTTGTATGTTATATGCCATGTTTTTTATATATGTGATCTTTTTCTTTCCTGCTCTTTCATTTCTTTTTGCAGTAGTCACATTCCCTCCCTTTGTAGATATCTCAGTTTGGGATCAAGCATCCACACACATGCCCTGTGTCTAGGTCACTACTCACGGTTCTGTAGGAGGACTTTTTTTCATCCAGTAGTGTATACTGAGCACAAATTATGTGCTAACTAACTGGCCAGAGATGAATAAAACAGTCCTTGCTTTTAAGGAACTTAATTTGGAAGGGTTACGCGACATATATAGCTCAAATAAAAGCAGTTGGTCCATGTCTTAAATGACACTATTAGTTCATAGAAAATTACAGAATGTGAAAATGTATCTTAAGAATATGTGAAAAAAATTATTGTGAAAGGACAATGCCATTTTTGAATGATAAAATTAGGGTAGGCAAAGAGATAACTTCTTCACTGCAGCTGAAAGAGAATTAGAGGTGAAGAAAGAAGTTTGCTTTTATTGAACACCTGCTCTATGCCAAATATGCATTCTGTCCTTTATATTTCTTGTTGCATTTCATCCTTAAAACACTGCTATGAAGCAGTTGTTATTATACCAGTTTTAAAGGTTAAAAATCTGAGTCTTCATGATGTTAAGAACCTTCCCAAAGTCCATTTAACTGGTCAATGAAAGAGGCAGCATTGAAATTCAAATTTAATTCCAAAATTTATGCTCTTTATATTGTGTTACATACAAAGAAAACTTACATTTTGTTAAGGAAAAAGGAGTAAAGGTATATCATCTGTTTTTCTCATTTTTTCCTAGTTGTAAGACGGCAAAGTCAAATAATAGAATGACACTCAAATTTTTATAATCTACTCAATGCTGTAAAATACACAATGATGCCTTCATGCTGTGAAATATTGTACTGTTGAGTACACTACTAATTTGCTAAGGTTGTATTACCTCCCAACAACTCACATGTTTTACTTACTGTTTATTTTCTGTTGATCCAAAGTTATCTGAAAGAGTTATTTCTTCAAGGAAAGAGTCCACATTTTACACTTTTTGATAATTTTCTTTCAGCATCTAGTTCAGTTTTTTGGCACTTAAAATAAGCTGCTTCTACAAGAATTTGTTGTTTAAATGATTGATTCACTAAAACTAGAGAAAAAGTACAAAAATCAAAGAATATGAAAAGCAGTAGTAATAATGGCTAACGTGTACATGGCTCTTGTAAGCATTTTATGTGACTGTAAACATTTTATATATTGTAGCTCACTCACTTTTTCAAAAACCCTATAAGGTTGATAAGGTCAATAATTTGCCCAGAGTCACTCAGCTAATAAGCAGTAGATAATAAGTAGAACAGGATTCAAACACAGGCAGTTTGTTTCTCTTTTTCTTTTCTTTTTTTCTTTTTTTTTTCTTTTTTGAGACCACGTCTTGCTCTGTCACCCAGGCTGGAGTGCAGTGGCATGATCTCAGCTCACTGCAGCCTTCACCTACTGGATTCAAGTGATTCTCTTGCCTCAGCCTCCCGAGTAGCTGGGATTACAGGTGTGTGCCACCATGCCCGGGTAGTCTTTTTTTGTATTTTTAGTAGAGATGCAGTTTCGCCATGTTGGCCAGGCTGGTCTCACACTCCTGGCCTCAAATGATCCACCCGCCTTGGCCTCCCAGAGTGCTAAGATTACAGGTATGAACCACTGCACCTGGCCCAGGCAGTTTGCTTCTAAAGTCTTTGCTCTTGACTAGTAAGCTCTACTGCCTACAAATTATTAGTATAGGTAATGAATATGAATTGTGGGAGAGGAAGTTGGAACTCTTTCCATCAGGGGGAATCAGCTTCCGCCAAGGTAATAAAGCAAGTATGAGCAAATGTGTAAAGAATGTTTCCAGCATATGCAGAATAGAGAACTCAAAATTTTCTGGCCACACAATATCTTAAAGTGTGTGTTAGCTTGAAGTGTGTATGTCTATTTCTAATCAGGTCAGTGAAAGAATCTACAGAAAAAAAATAAATAAAATAAAATAAAAATAAAATAAGAACCTACAGAAAAATAAATAAAATAAAATAAAATAAAATAAAACAGCCAAAGGCCAGAAACAAAGCAAGAATACCAGTTCCAAGGACTGGTAAACCAACTTGAAACCACCTGATATTCAGGGGCGTTTACCAAGGTTGGTAACCTAAAGCTTAGTCTGCAGACCTTTGTTGGGTTTGGGGGACTACAGACCTGAGCAGAGCAGAGAGCAGCTTAAAGACTGCCACAAATATACAGGACTCAAAAAAGTACAATGGCCGGGGGGCAGAAAAGATGAACTTAAATGAAATTTATTCAGCAGAAGCTTATAGCAGTGAAAATTCATTTTCAGCTGTAACGATTGGGAAGATAGAGCTGAAAAGAGGAAATGCTCCTAAGATTTAAAAGCCATTTACCCAACCTCACAAGTTTCTGGAACTTCAGTGTGCATTACCTGTCTAGGCTTAAAAGCCCAAGAAATTTTTATTCAAAATGGACTCTGATCTTCATGCCATAGAGAAATGGCAAAAGCACATGCCAATCCTCTGTAGAAGAAGGTACCTTTAGATAGACTTTGTAAAACTTTCACAGAAAGTATCCCAACAATGATGAGTTCACAGTCAAAAATTATAGACTATACAAGGAAACAAACGAACAACAATGACGGCAGAAAACAAAACAAAACAAAAAACCAGCAGTGGACCTAAAAGGACTTCAGATTTTGGAAATATGGGATACAGAATATTAAATATCTACATATAATGTGTTTTTTAAAATAAGAGGAATTGACAGGGGATAGATGAGCAGCATAAGCAAAATTCAGTCCTGCTTTCTGAAAATAAACTGTTTGTTATGGCCATGTAACAGGACAAGCTAGAACTTTCAAAAGGACTTGACAGCTTTTCTCTTACTCCAGGATGTCAGGCAGTCTTTATAACATTACCTATGCTAATTACAGCATTTTGTCTAACACCTATTATGGCCATAAAATTAAATCGAAAAGATGAAAACTAGAAGTATTTCCACATATGTTTGACTGTTTTCCAGATCACATTTCAATTACTTCACAAAAGAAAGTCTGTGAGTGGTAAGCAAGCATATGAAAAGATATTGGTCATCAGTAGTCATTAGAAAAATGCAAATTAAAACCACAGAGAAAGACTGCTTGCTATATATTCACTTTTTAAAGGGGCCAAAATTTAAAAGATGGCAATAGCAAGTACCAGCAAGGATATGAAGCAATTGAAACTCACATGTTTCAATGGGAATATGTGAATAATGAATATATGATCAATTCCTAAGTATTCACCAAGAGAAATAAAAATATATGCTCACACAAAGACTAGCATATGAATTTTCATAGCAACTTTAGCAGCATAACAACATGCATGACTCTTCAAAGTGTTATACCAAGAAAGCTCACAAAAGACTACCTAATTGCATTGATATGAAACTAGAAAAGGCAAATTATAGTCAGATCAGTATTTGTCTAGGGCTAGGAGCAGGTTAAGGAGATTGACAGCAAAGGGGTATGAGAGAACTTTTTAGGATGATGAAAATGTAGTATATATTGATTGTTGTGGCAGTTACAGGATTGTATGTATTTATCAAAACTCATTGAACCGTACACTTCTAATGGAGGAGATTTTATGTAGATTATACTTCAATAAAGCCAATTTAAAAAATACATAATGACCAATAAACATAGATAGTAAACATGTAGAAAAGTTATATCAAATAGTAAGCAAATAAATAATAAACTAAAACATATATGTGTGTGTGTATATATATATGGTTTCAGGCTTCTGTTGGGGGTCCTGGAATATACTCCATGAAGAAGAGGGGATGACTACTACTACTACAGACACACACACACACACACACACACACACACACACATAAATTTTAAGGCAAAAGTATATCTAGAGATAAAGAGCGTAACTAGAAAGTTTAATTCACAAGGAAAGTATTTATAAACTAGTGTGCTTCTAATGACAGCCTCAGAACTATAAAATAAAAATTGACCAAATTATAAGGATAAATGTACAGATCAACCATATGCTGGTAGTTTCACCCACCCCTTTTGGTAATTAATGGAACAAGAAAACAAAAAAGTATTAGTTTGTAAAACATGGAGCCTCACATTTAACAAGCCTGATCTAATAATTATGAAGCCATGTGGCTAACCATTGGAGAATGGACATCTTTTCAAGCATATGCAGAATGTGTACTAAAATGGACCATATATGAGGCCGGGAAACAAATCTTAATATATTTCAAAGAATTGATGTCATGCAGTTTTTCTGACTATAATGCAATTAAACTAAAAATTTTAAAAACAAAATTATAGAAAATGATAATAAAAACCCCAAGTAGATGCCATTTGATTCCTACTCATTTTATAAAAATTTTAAAATCTCAGTATGAGGTGTTGCAAGGATATGGAGCAACAGGAATTTTTACATTGCTGTGGAAACATAAATCAGCATGACTACCTTGGGAACCATTGAGTAGTATCTTTTAAATTTGAATATTTGCCTGCCATGTGATCATGCCTACCCACAGAGCCTCACAAATGTGCTCCAGAAGGCATGTGCAAGAATGGCTATGGGAGCCTTGGTCCTAAGGGCAAAAAAATGAAAAAGACCCAAATGTCCATTGACAAAAGAGTGGATAAAAACATTGCTGATGTCTGTTGAAATGATGAAATATTTCAGTTATTTAAATGACTGAACTTCAGTCATACTCATTATCCTGGATGAAATCTTAAAACCATACCATTAAGTGAAAAAGCAAGTCATACCGGAAATAAGCAGTATATTATTTTTTACAAAGTTCAAAGCAAAGCAAAAATAAGCATACCAATATGAAAAATTATGTCAAAAAATAAGGAAATGATTTTTTAATTAAAGGATAATGAACTGGGTGAGGTGGCTTATGCCTGTAATCCTAGCAGTTTGAGAGGCTGAGGCGAGAGGATCTCTTGAGCCCAGGAGTTCAAGACCAGCCTGGATAATATAGGAAGACCCTGTCTCTACAAACAATTTTAAAAAATTAATTGAGCATGTGATGCACACCTATATTCCCAACTACTCAAGAGGCTGAGGTAGGAGGATTGTTGAGCCCAGGAGGTTGAGGCTGCAGTAAGCCATTATCATACCACTGCACTCCAACCTGAGCAATGAGGTGAGACATTGTCAAAAAAATTTTAAAAAAAGAGGATATTGGCTACCGAGGTATCTAGATGATGGGACTGAGAAGGAAGATACTTTATGGGTTTGTACAGAGCATCAACAGGGTCAATACCCTCTTAAGTTTCATTTTTGAGCCAGCTTAATCTTTTAGAATGAACATCTAATATTTTTATTTGGGGAAAAAGGAAAACTTTTTAGAAGAAAGCAAAAAATCAATGGTAATATGAAATTTCGTTTTGGTGGTTATTGATTCTTTAAAAAATCTTCAGGATTGTAAAATATGTATGGTGGGTCCCCATTCCCCACTCCTTCTGGCTTGAGAATCCCTATTCTATTTATATTTCTGAGATGCTACTTCTGGGTCAGGAGGCCAGTTGGCAGCATGGAGTAGGCAGGAGGAGAGCAAAGGCAGTCTTGTAGCCCCTATGTGCTGCACGAAGAAATACACCATAGTTGCCTCAGAATCCAGAATCAGATGAACAAACAGGATCGGCATTATTTCCCACCCCATCCCTTTTTCCTCTGATTCGACATAAATCTTCTTATCAAAAGTATTTCAAGTTGGTTTTGAAACCAGTGCTTTTGGACCCCATGGTTCCTTAGAATTGTGAAAAAGGAAGGTAAAATATTAACATTAATGCCATGAGGGTGGTAGCTCTAATATATATTATTTATGGATATATATTTACATTTGTATATGTTATATCTATGTACACACACACGTATATACATATAACACACACACATCTAACTGGGGAGAGAGAATCCATTCAAAAGGTGAACAACTTTCTAAGAGTGATATTGTTGTGTATTTGCAGGTCTCAAAACTGAGCTGGATTGAGAAAAAAATGGCTGCTACTCTGTTTGGAAAGATACCATCTTCAACTGTGCAAGAAGCTTTACACAATTTCCTTAAGGTACATTTTGTCTATTCATTATTTTAGTGTCAGACTGATTACCCTCTGCACCAATCCCTGCTACCATTGTCAAGGAAATCTTTTCTCCATGTAGAGCCTCAGTTTGAATCCTAGTTTTGGCATGTTCTCTTTTAAGCCCCTCATAATGCAAGTTATTAATATGTTTTAAGTCTAAACTCCTTAGAACAGCTAGTTATGCCCTAGGTTCTAGGAATTACAAACTACTTTTTAAAAATAACTCAGCAGCTTAAATGAAGGTTTAGGTATGACAGCCCTTACTGCTAAGTCCAAGAGCGGCTCTCTGAGTCATGTGAGCATATGCAGAAACAGTCACGCCCTGATGGTTAGACTTAGTCTCCCAGTACTCCTGATTAGCCTAATACAGAACCAGTTTAATCTTAAAGAAATAAAAGTGCCAAAAGGAGGAGTTATTTTAAAAGCTACCTCCTAAAGTTGCAGACATTTCTCTGGAAGATTCTTGGGATATCAGACCAAATCAGTATTCTCAATCCTGTCTTAAAATGTGTAATCGCTGTACTGTACAACTCTAAGCAGTAATATATGTGTGTGTGAGCACACATGTAAATGTATAATATAGCCACCCATATAATCAACTTCCTGTTGGGGTAGTAATCCCTTTACCTTTCTCTGGAACCAACTTCAAAATTTTATAGTTACTAAATGTGTTTTCCTTCCCAACCTACCTATTTCAAGTTTATAAAAATGCAGACAAGGCTGCATGCGGTGACTCACTTCTGTAATCCCAACACTTTGGAAGGCTGAGGTAGGAGGATTGCTTGAGGTCAGGAGTTTGAGATCAGCCTGGGCAACATAGCAACACCCCATCTCTACAAAAAGTAAAAAAATTTGCTGGGTATGGTGGCATAACTACAGTCCCAGCTACTCAGGAGGCTGAGGCAGGAGGATCACTTGAGCCCAGTAGTTCAAGGCTGCAGTGAGCCATGATTGCACCACTGCGCTCCAGCCTGACCAAAAGAGCATGACCTTATCTCAATAATAATAATAATAATAATAAAAGTCTTGTGCATGCTAATATTTGTGCTGTACCTCAGGGATCAGTTTCGTAGAACTGAGAGGGAATTTGTAGATCATGTAGTCTAAGATGGTGAGTAGGTTTCTTCTCACTTTCTATCTGTCACCCCCAATGGCCAGTGGCTGCCTCAAGTGAAAAAGTAAGTGTCCTGAAATCAAGCACAAGCCCAGCAGAAAAGAGTTCAAAAAATAAAAAAGAAAAGGGCTGTACATTTCTTGTTTTTTATGTAATTGATCCCTTTTTTTTGTTTTATAAAAAGGGAGTCAAGACCTCAGGAACTTAATTTGTTCCATTTCACACAATGGCAATCAAAGATTTGGTTTAAATATGAGTGAAGGCTAAGACTGTATCACTCCCATGTCTTCACCTTTTTCCTACCACTGAAAATTAGTTCCCTCATTTTAAATTGTATAAGAATGTAGATTATGATCTATTTAAGATAAAATATTTATATAAAAGATGCCACGTTAACTAGCAAAAATATTATCTGTACTCAAAACTCATTTCCTCATAATATCAAAGTTGTAATTGAGGAGCAGGTTTTCAGAACACTGTAGAAAAGTTCTTGAGATGCTCATGTGCCTGAAATAATACACAGATAAAATCAAAAGTGGGTAAGTAGCACAATAATGTTGAGGTAAAGAATGCAAATTTTGGAAACAGACTACCTGGTTAAATCTCAGCTCTACCACTTACCAGCTGATTAACATTGGGCAAATTGCTTAATATCTCTCTCAATTTAATCAATAACATGGAGATAATAGTACTTACCTCATAGTGGTGTTGTAAGGATTATCTACATTCCTACAAGTAAATTGCTTAGAGTGTGCCTAGCACCCAGTAGTCCTCAGCAAAAACTCACAGAATTTTAATTTCATTAAAATTTAAACACTTCAGCAAACCATCTTGGGGAGCCCCGCATTAGGTCATTACTTAGACTTTAGTCTCAAAATGCATTCCATGTTGTTTGTCAAAGGAAAGAGAGGAGGCATCAGGAATGCTTCTTGCCATATTTACTAGAACAGCTGAGGGGTCTGGAATGCTGAGGCTAAGGCTGTGGTGGAACTAAGAAATCTGGGAGGTGAAGGAGAGGAAAGGGAAGCAGCACAGACCCTGGCTCCCACATCCAGGAGAGTCTGTAACCCCCTAGGTCCTACAGCACAGCAGGCCATGTTGTTGGGACCCAGACTGCAAGACTCCTGCCCTGAATTCACCCCTCCAAAGAGCATTCACAGGGGCCAGGAATGTGTCTCTAGAACCATCCAGCTGGGTCCCGTAGAGGTTGAGAACACTGAGTTTAGAGTTAGATGAGTGAAGTTGAGACCTGAGCCTTTCCTATCTGAATGACCTGGACACATTTTCTTAGTTCTCCCACTCTCAAATTCTTCATCCGTGAAATGGCCATAATAATACCTGCTTTGTACAGTTTTTGTGATGGTTACAAAAATAATGTATTTTATATTCTTGGCCCAGGGTCTAACATGTTAAATGTTCTTTCTAAAAATCAATGTTAGCTACTATTGTTTTGCTATTATAGCAGGGGAAGATTGGCCCTCCACAGCCTCAAAGCATCTAGGAAGGTGGGTTAGACACCTGTAGGAATGAATCGTCTGTGAATCCCCTGGGGAAATTCTTTCAAACTATAGCATGCTTCCCACCTCATCCAAAATGCTGGCATGATTCCCTAGGGCAGTGGTTCTCAACCTTGGCTGTGCATTGCAGTCATCTGGGGCACCTTACAAAATGGCAGCCCAGGCCATGACCCAGACTCATTGTTTCAGAACCTCTGGGTATCTTGAAGTATAGTTTATAAGCAATAAATTGTACCCATTTTAGGTGTACAATTCAGTGAAGTTTGACAAACTTATATACCTATGTAACCACCACTGTAACCACCACCATTTCAAGATAGCGTTTTCATTATCCTAGAGAGTTATCTTTGTCCCTTTGCTGTCAATTTCCCCCATCTCCTGCCCCAGGCAACCACTGATCTGCTTTCTATCGCTGTAAATTAGTTTTGCCCATTCTAAAATTTAATATAAATGGAATCACACAACATGTACTTTTGTGTATATCTGGTTTGTTTTACTCAGCATACTGTTTTGAGATTCATTCATTTTATTGAGTGTATCAGCAGCGCCTTTTCATTGCTGAGTAATATTCCATTATATGGATATACCATAATTTGTTTATGTATTAACTTACTGATAGACATTTGAGTTGTTTCTAGTTTGATGCTATTTTCAATAAAGCTTCTGTGAACATTCAAATGCAAGTTTGGTGTGAACATATTTTATTTCTGTTGGGTGAGCACCTAGGGGTGGAATTGTTGGGTCATATGGTATGTGCTTTTAAATCTTGATCAGTGTTTTTAAAGATCATAAAGCTATTGATTCCAATGGCAGCTGATGGCATGGCTGGAAACCACTGGATCAGAGGATGGGTGTGTGTGGTAAATGACAGGTGTGGCAATGTTGGGAGACAGGCTACCCTGATTGCACTTACTGTTTGCAATCATATGATCCCTGAGTCTGTACTAGTGGCTTCCCCAGCTGCAGAACTCTCAGCTGTGTCCTGATATGGTATAAGGCTGCTGCTTGAGCTTATAAGATATTTTAGAAGAGCTAATTTATTCAACAGTGTTTATTAAGCACATAACTAGTGCCAAACATGGCATCAAATACTGGGAACACAGAAATGACCAACATAGTTCCTGTCTTCAAGGAACTTGGATCGCCAAGACAAATTAAATATGTGTAATATTCTTTGCCAGGTGTTATGATAAAGAGTGTTCTAAGGGCCTCTTTAGAAACTGCCTCATCATTGGAACATTACATTGAAACATTAGCATTTGAGTAATGCTATGCTCCTGGTAATTCATCCAAGGCCTTTTATGAAAGGTCAGAATCTGTTTTACGTTAGGAATTCAGTGTTGTTAGTTGCCTGTCTGTGTTCTGTTGGGCTTCAGTTTTTTAAACCATGAGAACAAAAAGAGGTGTTCTTATTTATAATCACTTTAGTTTACTAAACATAGGTGTTAAGGTATATATGCAGAATTAGAATGCCAGTACTAAAGAAATAAGCTCTTTACATGCATATATTGGGGCAAGTTGTCCCCAATATGGGATTCGGGCAGAGCTGAGGCAACTACCGGGCATAGAAGAAGGTATAATTGAATAAAGTTCAGTCTTAAGTCCCTCTTATTAGAATGGCTCAAGAAATTCTCTTACCAAACTAGAAGCCTTGAAATGGAGATGATTAGACAAGAGAGAAGCAGAAGAACCAGAATCCATGGATGGCACTATAGGATGGTCAAGGCTCTGGCTTGATTGAAATTGACAACTTCCCTTAATCTGTTGGTAGCTTTGCTGTCTCTCCAGCAGGTTTCATTCCATGCCCAGACACTGTTAAGCTACCTGATTTTAAAGTTTTATACCGAGTCTGGCTCCCTATCCTAGGAGAGTTTTGTCCTCCTCCTTCTAGAACCTTCTCTTTTGGATTCTGTACAGAATAAAATGTCTTTTAAAAGAGATGTGCCCTCATAAGGTGTTGGACCACTCCTCAGCACCCTGATTTGGATTTATCTTCATTAGTATCTCTTTAAAATATATATATATATTATTTTGATTCAGCTATTCAACTTCTGGGAATCTCCCTTATAGGCATACACACACATATACACAAACATATGAGAAAAAGTATGTTCATTGATTATTAGTAGCGATAATGAAAATGGAGAATAAATCAAGATGTCCAATGGGAAATGCTTCCTTTCATTATGATTCATGCAGAATATGAAATACAGCTCTTAAAAATGATGAAGTATATCTATGCTAACATGAAAATGTGTTTGTAATATGGGGAAAAAAGTCTAGGGCCAATATGTAGATTTTCTATCAATGTGCACATTTATTCAGTTTTATGTATTTATTTGTATTTTTCTAGCTTTACTGAGGTATAATTGACAAGAATTATATATATGTAAATTATATATATGTAAAATGGTTCCATTTTGTTTCATTTTCAAAAGCCAAATATCTGTTTTTTTATTTGCCTATACTTGGCAGAGTCTGGTAGGATACATGTCAAACTGCTGATAGTGGTTACCCCTGGGGCATGAGATTGAAGTTGAGAATAAAACTAGGAAGGAGAAATTTTCACTTTTTAATTTTGGAAATGTCTGGATTGTTCGTATCTTGTGAAACAAGGATATTTTTGTAAATATTTAAAAGCATCCTCTTCTCTTGTGTTCTACCCCGCTCCAGGGTGGAGACTCCAGGTTGTAAGCTTGCTTGCCTGGGCCTTCAAAACAGCGAAAGCTGACTCTGAAGCAAGACTGACTTAGGTTCTAAGAAGAACTGTCTAGTAACAATCCCATACCTGAAAGAATTCTTGTTTCCCACAGATAAAGTAAAGGAACTGGTACATAACAAGACTGACCTAGGTTCTAAGAAGGGCTGTCTGATAACAATACCATACCTGAAATAATTCTTATTTCCCAGAGATAAAGGAACTGGTACATAAAAGATTAGTAGATAATAGAAAAGTACCTTTATAATACCCACTCATGTCTACTACCTGGATTGGTTATTTCAAGGATCTGTCTTTCCTTTAAAAGTCCATGATTTGACGGACTTCAGATATTATTTAACTCCTGTGGAATATGTTGAAATCATAAGAAATCAAATATTAATCTAGTGGAAGATGCTTGCCATGGGGTACCAGTCATGCTCTACTCTCATTTTCTAAATAGATAGTGAGGCCAGGAGTGGTGGCTCATGCCTGTAATCCCAGCACTTTGGGAGGTCAAGGGGGATGGATCACCTGAGGTCAGGAGTTTGAGACAAGCCTGGCCAACATGGTGAAACCCCATCTCTATGAAAAATACAAAAATTAGCCAGGCATGGTGGCAGGTGCCTATAATCCCAGCTACTCAGGAGGCTGAGGCAGGAGAATCGCCTGAACCTAGGAGATGGAGGTTGCAGTGAGCTGAGATCGCACCACTGCACTCCAGCCTGGGCGACAGAGCAAGATCGGATGGATGGATGGATGGATGGATGGATGGATGGATGGATGGATGGATGGATGGATAGATAGATAGATAGATAGATAGATGGATACATAGATCAATCTATAGGACTTGTCCTAGGAATATCACCAGTTGTTTGTTCTTGAAAAGAATAGAGAAAGAAGACTGAGGAAAATGATTATGTAAAGAAATCTCAAAACCATAAAGTATCTCATTGCTTTGTAAGCTTTATGACCATGGTAATCAATTTTATTTTAATGGCTAAATGCAAAGGCTATGTTTCCACTCAAAAGATACTTAAACTGATCAAGTGATTCAAATGTGAAACAACCAACCTAAATTCTTACGGCAGTTTGGTTCATAATATTTGATTTATTTAAATATATTCTCATCATTTGTGGTTATTGTTATTTTAATATTGCCCTCTTATTCTCTCCTGTTTTTCTCTCAAATCAGGCTGAAGAACTATGCCCTGGTTATTCTAATCCCAATTACATGTACTTAGCAAAGGTAATGAAGATCACTGTTCTGCTTTAAGATCACTTTGAACCCGTCACATAAAAATATGATTATGTTTAATATTGGTTATTTCTCATTTCCAGTGTTATGCTGATCTTGAGGAAAACCAGAATGCTTTGAAGTTCTGTAATTTGGCATTATTGCTTCCTACTGTTACCAAAGAGGTAAGTCCAGAAAGTGACAGTGCTGTTGTCTTATTAGTACTATTCAAGCTCAAAATATGAATAACTTGCTTAGATACGTTTGTAGTTTTCTCTATTCAATTTTATGTATTTATTTTTATTCTAGCTTTATTGAAGTATAATTGACAAATAAAAACTATGTATATACAGCATGATGTTTTGATAGACATATACGTTATGAAATGACTACCACAATCAAGCTAATTAACACATTCATCACCTCACATAGTTACTTTTTTTGTTGAGAACATTGGAGATCCACTGTCTTAGCAAATTTCAAATACACAATATAGTATTATTAACTATAGTCACATTGCTGTCCTTTAAATCTCCAGAACCTATTCATACTGCATAACTGAAACTGTATACCCTAGACCAGTATCTCCTTATTTCTCCCACCCTCCCAGCCCCTGACAGCCACCCTTCTATTCTCTCCTTCTATGATGGAGTTTTCTTTCATACTAAAACCTTTGACTTGGAGTTTACATGTACTATGAAGTTTTAAAATTTGCTGTATCTCTGTAAGATAACCTGTCACCAGGAGGCCCTAGTGGTTAAAACAGCCTGATGCTTGTTAGATATAAGACAGCAGGGAGTGAAGCAAGCATAATTCCTTCAGTGGGAAGGAGGTGGCGCAGCATAATTCTGGGGAGCTGGGGATTAACTATATAGGCAGCAAACAAGCTAGACAGGTGGCCCAGCCTACAGCAAGGGGAGCGACCATGGGTTGCCATCCTCAGTCCCCAACTCACAGCAGTTATGGCTATCCAAGGCCATGACAAAGATGAAAAATACGTAATAACATGTTTTTGGTTTTTGGACACTGGCCATTAATGAAAAAAACTATTGCCCTGTCTCTTGCCCTTTTATTCAGTAATTCAGGATTCTGGGTATGCTGTAAGTTTCAAGCATTCCACAGGCTTAACAACTCAGTCTGCTCCTATGAGCTGTTGACTGGTGTTGTGGGAACAACAACAAAAAAAATAGGTATATATTTTCCTCCTCTTCTCATACCACCAAACATTATCATCCTCTAAATCATAACAGAAAAGAAATGCCTCAGAAAAAAAAAAACACCACCACCTCCTCTTTTTCTGTGTTGGAGCAGTACAGGTTCCAATATTTATTGTGATCTGAACTATAAACAAATAAGACATGCCTGTTACCTTCTAGGAGGCTATAGCCTAGAAGGGAACATATGGTGTGTGTCCAAATAACTGTAGCTCAAAGCAGAAAGCATGAGGTACTAAGAGAAGTACAAATCCTCAGTTATGGAAATTTTGAAAAAGGAGAAATTATTTTCACCTAGAAGAGGCCAGGTGGCATCAGAGGCAGACTTTGAAAGATCTGTATAATATGGAGTTGTGGACAAGTACATTGCACGTCATGAACAGAGGCACGAAAGAAAGCAAAGCTCTGTTTGCCTGGAGCGAAAAGAATGTGCCCACTTTCCCTGGACCACAGCTGGGGTGTGCCAGCCTCCCAGCCATTCTCCTCCCAGCTTCCTTGCCTCCCACCAGGCGACTCTTGACTCCCAGTAGCAGCCCAAGCAACAGATTAAATGTAAACGTCAACATGTCACTTCCCTGCTCAAAACCCTTTGCTGTTAGGATGAGGGTCAGAATTTTCAGCATGTCCTTCAAGGCTCTGATCCAGCTCCTAACAGTCTCTCAAGCTTCATATGTTCCCCGTTCTTCCCTCCACCGCCCAACCTGCCCTTCACCCTTAGAACATACTGTTCCCACTTCCGGAAACACTCCTACCCACCCTCCGCTCCTTTCACTAGCTTTATTCCTTCCTGTCCTCCAGGCCTCACCATGAATGCTGTTTCTTCAGGAAAGACTTTCTTGACACCTGCTGGCAAGAAAGCCCCCTATGCTTTTCCTTACTATCATTTCACACAGTTATTATGTCATTATTAATGTGATTGTTCCATGAGAGTAACAACCAGGTTTGTGTCATTCATCACTACACCCCTAATCCTGAGTATACTGCCTAGCATATCATAAGCACTCGGTAAGTGTTCATAGAAAGAACCAAGACATTAATATCATGCAAATAAAAATAGTAGTGTCAATAGTAATAATAAAGAAGACGCATAATGAATGTAAGAAGGCTAGACATTGGAAGTATTTCTGTAATAAGCAAAATAGTTTGAGCAAATATTTCTCACATTGCATTTTTTTCCCTCAGCGATGTCTCCATTTGTATTCTTAGCAATTTTTTTCCAAGTAGTAAAGGTATGTAAGGAATATTTCCATTTCTTTTTCAATGAGAAAATAGTATGAAGTGAGTTATGTGTAATACCCCTCCATCTCTATAAAGTTTTTTCGGATTGAAATATACCCCATTAGTGATTTTGCTAACCAAGTTTATTCATTTCCAAAATGTCTAGCAATGCCACTAGTTACAAGAAGACAACCTAGCCATCAGTTTGCTCTCTCTTGTGAAATTTCATAACATGTTTGTTTCTTTCTTGTGGCATTTATAGCTTCTTCCTTGCATTGTAGTCATTTGTGGACCTGTCTTTTGTCCCCTGTTAGGGAACTCTCAGCTCATCACACTGCTACTTGATATTGGGAGTGTCAGTCATTTGGTCTCTAGGGCCCAGATTCATAGGTGTAAGCAGCTTTACATTCCCAGAATTTGGAACGATGGTATTTTTATTATTCATGTGGACTTTTCTTGACCCTAGGAAAGTAATCTCAGATCCTGAGAAACATTTCTTTTTTAAAAAAAGGGATTTCTGTGTCTGAGACAGTGTGAGAATGATTGCTGAATGAAATAATGACTTCACTGGCAACCTGAAAATTGTTTGCCTGGAGGCAGTATTAAAGTTCATCAACTTGGAGCCTACTGAGAAAGCTCAAATATAAAAAGCATTATGTAATATTTTGTTTTATGATAAGAGATGTGCTAAGCTGGTAAAGAAAACCCCGTATTTTAAAATTGCTGAAACATTTTGAAATGGCATTAATCACCTTTCTAAGACAAACAGACTCATAGACTAGTAAATCCAATGTTACCAGAAACCAACCACAAAAAGAAGTGCACTCTGGGAGAGCTAAAAGTTAAGAGCTCATTATATTTAGCAAGTGGTATAGTTGTCTTTGAAATGGCCTGTTGATTGAAGTTCTGAGCTGTATTTCTAACCTGTTTTATGAGTTGAGAAGCACAATTCTCATTGGTAACTGCTCTTAGTAACAAAATCCTAATTCTGCTTTAAATGTTCTTTCTGAGTTACGATATCATATTTGATTATCTGAATTAAGACATTGGTTTTCTGGATAGGTTTATAAAACAGAATTTGTATCCATTCACTCTGCCTTCCTGTTTTAGAAATGCTACTCAGGGTAATAATAAATGAGTCACTTGCCAAAATCCTGTAATATTGTCTTATTTGCTAGAAATTCTTGTTTGCCCATTTCTTTCCTGTTGAAACTTATTTCTTGTAAATTAACTCATCTGTGCTATCCATGCCTGGAGAATTATTCCTAGTACTTTCTAAAAAATTAATAAGACAGCCAGGTGCGGTGGCTTACGCCTGTAATCCCAGCACTTTGGGAGGCTGAGGCGGGTGGATCACCTGAGGTTGGGAGTTTGAGACCAGCCTGACCAACATGGAGAAACCCCATCTCTACTAAAAAAAATTACAAAATTAGCTGGGCGTGGTAGCACATGCCTATAATCCCAGCTACTAGGGAGGCTGAGGCAGGAGAATCGCTTGAACCTGGGAGGCGGAGGTTGTGGTAAGCCGAGATCGTGCCATTGCGCTCCAGCCAGGGCAACAAGAGTGAAACTCCATCTCAAAAAAAAAAAAAAAAATTAATAAGGCTATTATAGTATAGATAGTATAGACAGACTTTTCCGACTCTCTAAACGGACACTTTCATGATTTGTAGAAAGTCTGTTTACAACCCCATATTTCTACTGTTTTGACTCTTACCTTCTTGTCATTTGCATTTAAAATGTATTATTTCTTAAGATTTTGCAATATATATAATGGTCTTGGTTGTGTTGTTTAAATTGATCTTAAAAATACTCTAAAGAAGTTTCTTAGAACCCTTTTATTTATTTTCTTGAAATAATTGATGATACAGCATCAGTTTGGGACTAGCTGTTCTTAACCAGTACCCAGTCTCATGAAGTTGGTGTGTGATAATCATTACCCAAATGCTAGGAGAGTAATGACAATTCAATGTAAATAAGTCTCTTATTTATCCAAAGTCTTTAACAGAGAGCATTGATGTAGTTTTCTAAACCTTATTTTTCCAACACTATCAGATGAAATAAATCTATATTTTTGAATGTGTGTGTGTGGGTGAAAGAGGGAGATTATCTTTATTCAGTTATTTTACAATTATAGAGGTGTTCTCTGCTAGAGGCTTGGGATACAAAGAGAAAAAAACAGATACCTCTGCCATCATGAATTCTGTGGTGTAGTGGGAAAGGCAGGCACTGAAAAAGTCATAGCAGTAAAATTTGATGAGTTTTTGGAAATAAAAGCACAGAGATTTGTGAGAAAATAAAACTGGTACTACAACTTGGGCCACAGGCCAGGAAAGGTCATCCTGAGGTTTTGCTATATATAATCTAAGGAAATTAGAATTTAAACCCAGTTGTTTAAATATTTAAGACTTGCTTGGACAGTAGAGGGCTCATTAAAAATACAGGTTCCTGGCTTTTTCTAGAAAGTTAGAAAGAAGCTCTGAGCTCCAGAATGTGGTGACCCCAACCTCAGTATCATCGTGGTCTCACTCAAGTTTCCTCTGTCTGGGAAGCTTAGTGCTCAGATGGCCCTTGGGTGAGATTACAGAGAAAGACAGGTGGTTACTGAGTTCTTGACATTGCAACCATAGGAACTGTTGACTCTTGGCGGGGCGCAGTGGCTCACGGCTGTAATCCCAGCACTTTGGGAGGCCGAGGTGGGCAGATCACGAGGTCAAGAGATTGAGACCATCCTGGCCAACATGGTGAAAGCCCGTCTCTACTAAAAATACAAAAATTAGCTGGGCATGGTGGCATGTGCCTGTAGCCCCAGCTACTCAGGAGGCTGAGGCAGGGGAATCACTTGAACCCGAAAGGGGGAGGTTGCAGTGGGCCGAGATTGCACCACTACACTCCAGCCTGGCAACAGAGACTCCGTCTCAAAAAAAAAAAAAAAGGAAATGTTGACCTTTAAGGATATGGCTTTGGATTTTACTCAGAAAGAGCAGACCCTGCTAGACCCATCTCAGAGGAAGCTGCACAGACATGTGATTCTGGAGAAAATCCTCAAAACCAGCATCCAGGCAGTAAAGTCTTAGAAACAAAGACAGAACTTCCATGTAGAATATCTACAGGAAGGAGCGGTCTAACAACATGTCAACACTGAGATTTGTAAGGGTGAACTGTGTTCCTCCACAGCAGAATTGGCCTGGGGAGGGCCAAATTAGGAATGCAGCACAATCACGTGACTTTAATTTGAGACTAGAGAAAGTGTGCTATCTCAGCTCAAAGGTGTGGATAGTTCAAATCTGGGAGAAAAGGAATAACCGGAGCCCTAAACCATAACCTGAGTTCTTATAGCCAATATATTTAGTGCTTGAAATATAATGAAAATCTTAAAATTAATCATATAGCTATGCAGCTGACCTACTACAAAGGAGAAAACTTCTGTATGCAAAGGAGAGTAATACACCACGTGAATGTAACTAACGTGGAAGATGTTAACTAGGGACTATACTGAATGCTCGGCATCAGATTCATATGTGGGAAAATAAATGAATAAATGAAGGTGCTTGAGCAAGGCTTTAACAGCCTGTTATGTCCTCAGTGGCAGAGATGTTACAGTGGAGAATAGCCCTTTGAATATAATGAGTATGAGGAAGTTATCACAGCTCAACATTGACTCAACGTGTGTTAGCTCACACTGGAGGGAAACTCCACAAATGTAATGAATGTAGGAAACACTTCATCCAGAGAGCTAACTTATTCATACCAGAGAACTCAAGAGAGAAACTCTGTCTGTAATCAGTGTGGAAATGCCTTCAGTGACCATTTATCCTTTAAACAACACCGTGAATTAACACTGGAGAGAAGCCATATGAATATGATCTATGTGAGAAAGTCTTCATTTAATGATCTCATCTTATAATGAGACAATGCACATGGAGAGAAGCCCTATAAATGTACAGCATTTGGAAGAGCCTTCAACCTCAGCCCTAACCTTTATAGGCGGTCTCACTCAAGTTTCCATCTATCTGAAAGATGCCATCTTTTAGATACCAGAGAGCTCCCACAGGGCTAAACCCTACACCCTTCAGGCAAAGCTCAAGCCTTGATATGCAGAAAAAACTTAGAGTAAAACAGGAAAGAAAGTGGCAAGTTTTTTCCAGGAGGAAGAAACCTGTTGGGAAAACACTAGATAATTCATGCTGGAGAAGGAATTCAGTGAAATAAACACGATAAACCCTTTACTCATAGAGCAACACTCCAGGACATGTGAGGATTAATGCTGTATAAAACACTCACTAAGACAAAAGCAACTTGTTAAAATAAAAAAAAAAGAAAATTATTAAAAATAATAATAAAACACTGTCAGTGACCTGAATTAGGGAAAGTATTTGTTGATTGCACATACCTTTGTGAACCTTGAAGTTCTCATGTTGGGGAATCTCCTCAAGTTAATGTAAGTCTATTTCAGCATACTAGAGTATCAAGATGAATGCATGAAATTTCCTTATGTATTTGTATTTTCTTTATAGGATAAAGAGGCACAGAAAGAGATGCAAAAAATAATGACTTCCTTGAAGAGGTAAATAACCGAATTTACTCTTCAACAAATCAGACGTGATCTACCAAAATTTAAACGAATCAAAGTTTTATTATCCTTTTCTTCATTTTTGATGTAAGGGTATTGTGCTCAGATTTGAAGGTAAAGCCATGTTTCTGCAGAATGCATTCCACTAGTAGCACTACAAAATTAATTATGTTATTTGGAGAATCTATATACTATAATGTCAATACATAATCTATAAACATGTATGCTTTGTATTTTTCTTATCAATAAACTGCAGCCTTCAGAATATTTCTTTAAATATTTAAATCCAACAAAATGAATTTTCATAAGTATTTTATTGTTTCAATGGAGACTTCATAAAACAAAATAATTTCATTAATGTGGATGAAAAATGGAAAACTGAGCAAAGGACATGAACAAGTTGTTGGCAGAAGAGAAAAAAGCAAACAGATGTAGTATTGTAACTGGTAATCAAAAGATGTGAATAAAATTACAATAAAATACTCTTTTACCATCAAACTAGATTTCATTTGCGTCCGAGTGAAGAGACCACCAAACAGGCTTTGTGTGAGCAACAAGGCTGTTTATTTCACCTGGGGACAGGTGGGCTGAGTCCGAAAAGAGAGTCAGCGAAGGGAGGCAGGGGTGGGGCTGTTTTATCAGATTTGGGTAGGTAATGGAAGATTACAGTCAAAGGGGATTGTTCTCTGGCTGGCAAGGGTGGGGGTCACAAGGTGCTCAGTGGGGGAGCTTTTGAGCCAGTATGAGCCAGGAGAAGGAATTTCACAAGGTAATGTCATCAGTTAAGGCAGGAACCGGCCATTTTCACTTCTTTTGTGGTGAAATGTCATCAGTTAAGGCAGGAAACAGCCACTTTCACTTCTTTTGTGATTCTTTGCTTGCTTCAGGCCATCTGGACGTATACATGCAGGTCACAGGAGATACGATGTCTTAGTTTGGGCTCAGAGGCCTGACATTAGCAAGGATTATTTTCTTCATTCAGGAAGCATTCAACACTGGCAGTATTGTTATGAGATGGAGCATTCTCATACACAGTTAGTGAGAGAATATTTTGTCACCTGGGTACATCAAATATGAAAATATAAAAGAAATTTAAAAAGTACTTTGGCACAAACCTTTGGTAAAATTTATTGACAGCTTTTGAAAAGTATTAAATCTTTAGTCATGGAAATAATCATAAAGAGTAAAGTGCAGTGACTGATTCATAAATGTTCATAACAGCATAACACTATGTCCAACAGTAAGAAAGCAGCCACGTTGAAATATAACTACAGTTGAATAACATTTTGACATTAAAAATTACGAAAATGATATAGCAACTGCACAGAGTATCTTAAGTGCAAGTATAAGTCAAAAATAGTACATACATAGTGAGAGACAGGACTAGCTGGATTTCCTAGGCCGACTAAGAATCCCTAAGCCTAGCTGGGAAGGTGGCCGTATCCACCTTTAAACAGGGGGCTTGCAACTTAGCCCACACGCGACCAATCAGAGAGCTCACTAAAATGCTAACTAGGCAAAAACAGGAGGTAAAGAAATAGGCTATCATCTATTGCCTGAGAGCACAGCGGGAGGGACAAGGATCAGGATATAAACCCAGGCCTTCGAGCCAGCAGGCAACCCCCTTTGGGTCCCCTCCCCTTATATGGCGCTCTGTTTTCACTCTATTTCACTATTAAATCTTGCAACTGCACTCTTCTGGTCCGTGCTTTGTTACCGCTCTAGCTGAGCTTTCGGTGGCCATCCACCACTGCTGTTTGCCGCCGTCACAGACCCGCCGCTGACTTCCGTCCCTCCGGATCCAGCAGAGTGTCCCCTATGCTGATCCAGTGAGGTGCCCATTGCCACTCCCGATTGGGCTGAAGGCTTGCTATTGTTCCTGCACAGCTAAGTGCCTGGGTTCATCCTAATCGAGCTGAACACTAGTCACTGGGTTCCATGGTTCTGTTCCATGACCCAGGGCTTCTAATAGAGCTGTAATACTCACTGCATGGCCCAAGATTCCATTCCTTGGAATCTGTGAGGCCAAGAACCCCAGGTCAGAGAACGTGAGGCTTGCCACCATCTTGGAAGTGACCCGCCGCCATTTTGAAAGTGGCCTGCCACCATCTTGAGAGCTCTGGGAGCAAGGACTGTCCCCACCCCCCACCAGGTAACAATAGGATCTCAACAGTATAAAAATAAGCACAGAAGAGCATCTGGTAGGGAATACACTAAAATAGTAGTAGTATATGTTTCTGTGAAGCTTATTTTATTTCTTGTATTTCCCAGTTTTTAATAATAAATAAAATGATTTTCTAGGTTGAACTTAGCAGTGAGCTATAAAGATTCCCTGCTACCTCTTAATCAGCCTAATCTTGGAAATCAGAGTAAAAACTTGGATTTTCTGTTTACTGTCCCAAATACATGGGTGTGCACGCACATGCACACACACACACACACATTTATAAACTCAAAATTTCAAGCCCTGATGTAGACATTCTGGTTAGTAGGTAAATTAAGCAACCCCCTAGCCCCATCTTCTATAATGGTCAATCAAGATACTGAATCAGTCCAGCTGGTTCTCACCCACTTTCCTCTGACAACTGTTCTGATGTTGAAACTCATGGCTAGATAGGGCAAGAGTCTTGCTGGTTCTGTCATGGATATGCTGAGAGGCTATGGATACCTCTGGCTCTCTTAACAGCTAAAGGAATATGTAAGTATAGAAAGGTGAATCCAGCTAGGAGCAAATGACATAGAATCAACTATGTTGTAGGTTTTGTGGGAGCAACTCATTCCGGCAGAGTGGTACAAACACTTCCTTTATGAATTATGAGGACTATCAAGAAACACTCCTGGTGGGTAACAGTGAGATTTAGGACTCATAATTGGAACCTGACATAAGATCTAATCAGTGTTCATTTATTATATTTTAATGAAATTCTTGTTTCTCATAATGTGTGTTCAATGGACAAGTTGATGTCCATTGACTGGGTAATCAGCGTAGTTATTTCTGGATATGGGCTTGACCCAATAGAAATGCAGTACTCATAATTCACTCTTTAGAGAATTAGGAGTTTCTGACACATGTGGCCATTTCTACAAATGGGTATTAACAGAGGGAATTCCCCTCCTCATTATGGTAATAACCCTTCAAAAGAGCATTAACTCCCTGCTGTATGCCCCCTTCCAGAGTCATACTGTCATATCTGTATTCCTTATAAAGCCATATATAATCAGAGAAATTATGTTTGGGAGGCTGAGGCTGGAGGATCAATTGAGCTCAGGAGTTCAAGACGAGCCTGGGCAACATGGTGAAATCCCATCTCTACAAAAATTAGCTGAGCGTGGTGGTGCATGCCTGTATTTACAGCTACTCGGGTGGCTGAGGTGGGAGGATTACTTCAACCCAGGAGGTCAAGGCTGGGATGAGCTGTAATTGCGCCACTCCACTCCACTCTCCACTACACTCTGGGTGACAGAGTGAAACTCTGTTTCAAAAAAAATTTTTTTTTATTTAAAAATAATTTTTTAAAATTAAAAACATTGGAAATAATTGCTAAATAGCTCAAAAACCGTGAACAGGACTAGAATCTGATAACCTAGAAGGGTGTGCTATAGGGCAGTGGTCCCCAACCTTTTTGGCACCAGGGACCATTTTCGTGGAAGACAATTTTTCCCTGGACCTGGGGGTAGGGGGATGGTTTCGGAATGATTCAAGTGCATTACATTTAGTGTGCACTTTATTTCTATTATTATTACAGTGTAATATATAATGAAATAATTATACAACCCGCCATAATGTAGAACCAGTGGAAGCCCTGAACTTGTTTTCCTGCAACTAGATGGTCCCATCCGGGGGTGATGGGAGACAGTGGCAGACCTATCAGGCATTGATTCTCATAAGGAGTGTGCAACGTACATCCCTCACATGCACGGTTCACAGTAGGATTCGCCCTACTAATACCACCATTGATCTGACAGGAGGAGGCGTTCAGGTGGTAATATGAGCAATGGGGAGCAGCTGTAAATACAGATGAAGCTTTGCTCACTTGCCCACTGCTCATCTCCTGCTGTGAGGCCCAGTTCTTAATAGGCCACAAGCCAGTTACCAGTACCACTACCAGCCTGTGGCCCGGGGGTTAGGGACCCCTGCTATAGAGGATACATAGGATATTCTGTCAATTTATTTATTTATTTTTTATTTTATTTTATTTATTATTATTTTTTTTTTGAGACAAAGTCTGGCTCTGTCGCCCAGGCTGGAGTGCAGTGGCGCAATCTCGGCTCACTGCGAGCTCCGCCTCCTGGGTTCACCCCATTCTCCTGCCTCAGTCTCCTGAGTAGCTGGGACTACAGGCGTCCGCCACCACGCCCGGCTAATTTTTTGTATTTTTAGTAGAGATGGGGTTTCACTGTGTTAGCCAGGGTGGTCTCCATCTCCTGACCTTGTGATCCACCCGCCTCAGCCTCCCAAAGTGCTGGGATTACAGGCATGAGCCACCGCGCCCGGCCTATTTTGTCAATTTAATCCTCAATCCAATCCAATGAGGGAGGTGGTGGTCTTTCCATATAGGTAATGCCATAATTGAGGCTTGGAGTAAATAACTTGCCAAGGACCTTTCTTAACAAGTGGAAAGAGTTGGTACTTAAACATGGCTTATTTCGACTCGTTAGTCTAGTCTTAGTTACTCACAACAGATATATAAAAGGTACTGTGTAGATAAAGATGAGGAAACAAACCAAAATAAGGAAGTTATCTGTAATGAGGCCAAGTAAAAATGGTTCCTATATTAAATACCCCTACTTTCTAAAAACTGAGTGATTTTCTTGAATGACAGGATTATATGTAGAATATTACACTTACTCCAAGGAATTTCATGCAAAGTGAGCCATGGGGACTCTGGTTTTCTATGGTTACTTCACTCACCACTCATGCTGCTTGACCTCAGAGAAGACAGAATAGCTGCAGAGTGTTCCTGAAATGAGGATTGTTCCTGCTGGATAACGAAGTCCAAGCTGATGGTACACCTGGCGCTCACAGATGAGGTACCCAAACTGCTAACTTCTCAAGAGACTTCGTGTACAACTTTGGAAAGGGGGAGTTCTGACCCAAACTTTGAATATGTTTGATTTCAGAAGATAAGAATCAAACTGTATGTTGTAATTTCTCATAAAACATTAAAGAGGTAACTTAGTGGTCCACTAAAATTTTAGTGATGTCCATGTAATTGCGATGTTATCTTTCTTACTAAATAACAAATGGCCTTCATTGTAATATGAAAATCCATGCCACTTCTCATTTGTGCCTAAAAGTTATCAAAAGGCTTTTCATTTGATAATATTTTTATACTTTTGAATTTCAAAAAGCAGTGGTACAAGCTGAATGGGGTTAGCTTTTACACTAAACTCATTTTACCAATAAATGGTTTAAGCGTTGATGTGTAAGTAACAGGGTTGGAGTCAGACAACTGTAGTGACCAAGCCAGGACTGAGTTCCAGCCCTTGGAATCTCACTT